ACATAGCAACTTTGATCACGAATTTACGTACACTCAGGATGCACCACAACGGACACGTAGGAATAGGCAACGCAATATAATTTGGTTCAACCCACCATTTAGTAAGAGTGTTAACACGAACATGGGACGGGAATTCTTAAGTTTAATTGACAAACACTTCCCACTACAGCACAAACTACACAAGATTTTCAACAGAAATACTTTAAAAGTAAGCTACAGTTGCATGAACAACGTTAAGTCTATAATCACCAAACACAACGCACATATAATTAGGAACAGTCAATCACAGAATACGGAAACTGACAACTGTATCTGCGACAACAAAAACACTTGCCGCTACCGAAACAATGTATGACCAACAACATTATTTACAAAGCCACAGTCACAACGAACAACACGAACGACACTAAACACTACATTGGTATGACAGCGACTACATTTAAGGAACGTTACGCTAACCAGACTTCATATTTTCGTCATAAAAAAGACTCAAACAAAACGGAACTTTCGAAACATATTTGGAAATTAAAAGAAAACAATCGGGATTATACCATCAAATGGTCAATTTTAAAGTACGCTATTTCGCACACAGGGGGATCAACGCTGCAATTTATGTTTGGAAGAATTGAAAGTAGGCTACATTAATTAGGCAAAGTTAATCAATCTAAAAGCAACGCAAACCTTCTGCAAGGTACTTGTTTCGTAAAACGTTTTGATTACGAATGTTCTCTGTTCAGTGGTTAATGGAACCATGTTTAATGCAAAAATGGACGTTCTTATGGTCTCACTGAGACAAAGATGGAGGAGTTGAGCTTATTTTAGATAATTTAACATTTAATTTTAATTCCCTCTTGGGAATTGTTTATTGTTCGTTTTCCTTGCAACTCCCAACGGTGGAAGAATGTGATTTCGACCGGCAATTTTTATTTGGCGACTATGTGGCCATTTCTCCTCGTTACGATTTAAAAAGAGTATCATTGAAAAGCTAAATAACTGTTCTTTCGTCCCATGTAAAAATTGAACTGTTTAGCCACGTTTATGATGCACGACAGCCTGTTGAATTTCCGTAGCGTTTTAGACACATACATTTTTAACATATATATATATATATATATATATATATATACATATATATATATATATATATATATATATATATATATATATATATATATATATATATATATATATATATATATATATATATATATATATATGTATATATCGGTGTTGTTGAGCGCTCTGCGGAGTTGTTAATGGGTGTCTATTAGCGAGAATGCAAAGCTCACTTCCCTTGTGGTCGTTTGAGCACTCTGGCCCCATTACGCTCTGCGCATGTCTGGATGCGTTGAGTCACCGTGTTGAACCACATGCCTTGGTGAGAGCAAGTTCATGGTGTATAAATACGAGTGTCTCACGTATCTGGACGTGTACCAAGCTGCACTGACGAGGCGTTGAACGCCGAAACATGCATGTCTGCAGATTGGCGGACAGTTCTAATTTTGTGAGCTCTACAAAATTCCATCAAAATATCCCGAAAATATGGAACGCTAAAGAAATTTGTAATCATATAGCTTCTTCCAACTTAAGTTATGATCAGAGGAGGAGTGAGGACTATACCGGCATGCAACGCGGTCAGGCGCGGTTTTTTACATATTACCGATTTCTCGCTCTGCGCCGTCATTGTTCGGTCGGCTCTCGCTGTGTTTACACCTCGAGGATTCGAGCGATTCGGAAAAGATTTATAGAAAAAAAATTGTAAAATGGTGAATTTTTGCACTATTCGTGGAAAGAAAGCTTCGTTTTTGGGTGGACACGAGCTTCTGTTTGTTCACTGTGTGTCAAAACAGCCATTAATCTTGATTCCGGAAGGACTACCGTGTGATGAACTTGAAATGTCGTGAGGTTCATGCTTATATAGTTTTACGGAATACAGATAGTTTGAAGAATAGTCCTTTGTCAAGCTGTGGTTAACGGGATAAAAATTGATGAAATTGTTCCCTGATTGCGGTAATCCTGCACTGGTACAAATTCACTCTAGTTGTGTTTTTAAGGTAAGATGATTTATATAAAATAGAAATATAAAAATGCTCTCGTACTGTATAAATTATATAAAATACAGTCATCTATGATGTGATTGATATATTTCGCTTAAAATTGTTGTAATACAGCAGTATTAAACGTATTTTTATTTCATATCATGTAGTTATTCGACCCTATTAAATGATCCACAGGAAGGAGGTTGATATTTCAACATCACCAACATCCCACCATGTGAGCCAGATAGTCAAGATGATGAGCTGGACAGTGTACTTCCACCAATAGAATTACACCAGCCAACTGATTGTAATTGTTTTATTTAACCAATAAATCCTGTTTCCCCTGACGGACATTCATACACACCGAATGATGGAAGAAGCGCCCAGTGGTAGCAGTGTTGATGGTGAAACTGAAGGAGGGGCAGTGAATGTAGAAATTCAGTACTATCACAACACTATATATATATATATATATATATATATATATATATATATATATATATATATATATATATATATATATATATATATATATATATATATATATATATATATATATATATATATATATGTATTCACTACTGTGTGATGCATTGCAAGGATTTATACTGATCATTTAGTAGATCCACCAGTTATCTATGCTCAAATGATCAACCAGTTGTCTATTATTTTACTCTGCCTAACACCAGATTATTTTACTGTCTAACACTAGACTCATTACTCATCAGTGGGAGAGTGCTACCACTCAATGGGTTAAAAACATTCAAACAAAATGTTTGGCAGAAGATGCAAAATTGTTTATTGGTGTCTGGTGTGATACTTCTTTTATCTGTAAGGATAGACCTGGGGAGTTTCTAGTGGTACAGTCTTGTTTTCCTGTACTGCATGTGTTTTCCTCACTTCCCTGATTCTACCATAAGTATTGTATCCCATGGACACCATCTTATCAGTTCTGCAGTTTTTTGACAATCTATCGCAAACCTCCGACCATAAGCCCTGGGCTTATATTCTTTCATAAACGATTTTTGATGGGCTTACACAAGGGGGCTTATACATGGACAATCTTTTGTGTTAGTAATAAAAGTCAGTCATAAACAGGAAAATAAACATGTATTAATAACACACTTTGATTAACATAGTAACCTATAAAGACAATGAGGGGGGCTTATATTCAGGGTGGGGCTTATATTTGGAATGAGGTGAGCGTTAGTACATGTGGTGGGCTTATACATGGGGAGGGGGGCTTATACATGGGGGCTTATATTTGGAGGTTCACAGTATGTATGGTTTTCGTGGTTTTCAGTGTAGTGTTCCCTTGCTCATCACAAATTAATAAAAAGATCACACACTACATAATTGATGTTGATAAAATTGATATATTTTAAATCAAAAAATATTAACATAATATTACTGTACTTAAAGAAAATTAAAATGTTTTTAAAAATAAAATTTTATGCACAAAAGTAAAGAGAAGTTAAATGTTGCATCACATTCAATTCATTTCACCAGTACACATGAATGGTATATGATGAAGTATATGAAAGGTGATGCTTTTGCTCTAGAGATATTACATAATTGGTAAGCCTCTTCAATCATAATCATTTGCATGATTGTCTGCAACAGATATGAATTCAATGAATGCTTTATCTTCTTCAAAATATGTCCATTTATGAAGTTTTACTGGGAATTTCTTTGGAGG